TGTGTAAGATGGATTAATGGGGGAAAGCCAAAAGGCAGGGAATTCAGCAAAGGGACTTCTGAAAAAATCCTGGTGTTAAAGGCCTGAAATAGCAGTGGGAATGGGAAGGAAAGGATACAATTTGGGGATCTTTGGAAAAAACAATCGACATGTCTTGATGATGTGTCACTTATATGGAGCAGAGAGAAAGAGGATGATCTTAAAGTTCCCAGCTAGAAAAATGTTTCTATAAACATTTACAATTTTGTTTTTAATAAAGGAAATTTATTCAGAAGACACATTAAGCTTAGATACGGAATAAATGAAGTTAAAGTACAAGCTATTGACAGATTTAATGGAACTATTAATCTAATAGTGAATTCAGAAAAGGAATCCAGGCCTTTCTGTCAACTTCTTCCTGAAGTCACTGACACCTAATGTTCTTTTGGGGACAAAAAGGACAACAAATACTGAGCCTCTTGAGGAAGGATTTTGGAATGAGCCAGCAAGACACTGTCTTATTCATATGTTAAGCCCCAATTTGCCCCAAGCCTCCCAAGACATATAGTAAGGAACTACATAAGGTCCAGAGAAAGGCAACTCAGATAACAGACAGAATGGGCCAATAATGAAAACTCTTCCATCCAGCTGAAGGGTCATAATGAGGGTATGAACACAAGTGTTAAATTAATTAGACCTTACATTAGCACAGCACCCATTAGTCTGAAACGTAATTTTCTGTCCGTTATTAATTCAATGAAACGTAAGCATCCTATGTTAAGTCCTCTGCAAGGAGGGCACAGAGGGGAAGGAGGCCCAGTTACTCTCTCAAGGAGCTCACTGTCTAGTTTGACCTTTACAACTTTGTATACCCTTATCCCCACTTGGCAATTAAGGAAACTAGGATTGAACTGTGGTACTTTGAGCAAGTTATGTAATCTGTATAAGCCTTAGTTTCCTCAAAGTAGAAGGGGAACAGCAATATCTACTTTGCGTGGACTGAAGATTAAGCATTGTCAAAAGTTCAGAAATAAGCTATAAGGATATATTGCACAGCACAGGGAATACAGCCAATATTTTATAGTAACTATAAATGGAGAATAACAAAAGTTGTGAATCACTAGATTGTACACATGAAACTTATATAATATTGTAAATTAACTATACCTCAATTTTTTTAAAGTTCAAAAATAGTAGAAGTAAAACATTGGATCGCTGAAATAGTAATTAGTAAAAGTTTATTGTGCACACACACACACACAATTTTTGCAAACTGGGAGCACTTAGAACATGGAATGAGGCTCAGAGGTATATTTTTATAAAGTAGCTTATATTGTGAGGAGGCAGCGGCTGTTTATTATTCACAGTGATTAGTTATAATATTAGTTTTCCTAGTGATAGGGTATGGATTAAAAGTGGTTGCTTCACATTAATTTTGGGGAACAGTTTAAGTTTCATTTATGATTTTCAGAAGCATTAACAAGAAGTGGCCTAAGTTAAGTTTTGCTTGTTTTACAGAATAAGCTAAATTAAGTTGTACTCATATGAGTAAACTGGTTTGCTCAGGGAACTTTCAAGTCTGGGCTCCATTTGTGTTTGATTTTTAACAATGTCAAAGTACACAGTAGTGCTTAGCTGGATGCCTGGCACAAAGTAAGCATTCATTTAGCCATCCTTATTAAGTGGTGTGCAAAGCATTTACAATGTGTTTATTTACCACATTTATTTCTTGTCCTACCTCCAAACCTCCTCGTATTGCCTCTACTTTGCATCTCTTTGATCCTGAGCAAACCCTCCTAACAACCTTGGGGCAGCATCTGTCCCAACCACAGTCACTCTAAGCCTTGCTCTAGCCCTGATCTATTTGATTTTCATTCTCTTGTCTCTACTTTTCTTATCTCTCATTTTCATCCTTGCCCTTCCCCCTCCTCTCTCCCCAGACTCTTTGCCTCTGGAGTCTAGAAGCTCTGATTAACTGTATGGCTATGGACAGATAAGTCATTTAACTGCTGAGTCTCAGCTTTTACATCTGAACAATGGGAATAACAACATCTAGTTTATAGGATTGTTTTCGGAGTAGATAAAATAATAAATGTTCAAGTGCTATGTAAATGTACAGCGCCTTACAAGCATTAGTTACCGGCATCTCTCATATGTATTCACTTCCATTCTTCCTCCCCTTCGGTCCCTGCTTTGTTGCGGGACTAGGAAATTCTTCGCATTGAAGGTTAGGACTTAACTCCAATCGGAGTAAAGATTTGCTGGTTGTTCCCGCCTTCCACGCCTAAACGAACCACTCAGAGCGTCCGGAGAGTGGCGCGGTCTCTCTCCACTTGGAGACCACACCTAACAGAGCTTGCACTTTTCTCCGTCCTTGCAAACCTTAGTTTCCTCGCACCCCAAATTCCCGGCCTTGGACGTGGGATCCTCTTCCTTCCTTGTCTCAACCCCTCAAATTTTGGCGTCGCTCGAGTTGAACGGCGGGAACCGGAAGTGTGCATCAGCGGCTGGTCTCCGGAGAATCGACGCCGGAAGTAGCAGCTGCCACAGGAGGATTCCGCCAGCTTTGATATGGCGGCGATCCCTCCAGACTCCTGGCAGCCGCCCAACGTATACTTGGAGACCAGGTGAGGGTCCGGCCTCTGGGGCTGGGCTGGCGCAGGCGACGCGGAGCCCAGGGTTAGCCGCGGGGCTGGGTTCCTGGCGCTCTTCCTCGGGAGGCCGACCTCCTCGTGGAGCCGCGGCCGTGAGGACCGCCTGAGGCCTGAGTGGGGAGCTCCGCCGAGCCTAGCTCCGCCCTGACGCGCGCTGAGACCGTAGCTACAGCGGCCCGCTTGCCCTCCTCTCGCCCCTCCGTTCTTTCATTCATTCATTCAACAAGTGTGTATTGAGTCTACAGGTGGGGACATAGGGTCTGAGAGTACAGAGGTGGATAAAACACATACAGCCTTGCCTTAAGAAGCTTTCAGTAGTGAAGGAGACAGATGTGTAAACATTAACGTTGTAAGTAGCACAGTTGTATAACCAGATTATTAGGAGGACACAGGAAGAAGCACATTTATTTCCCCCATCAAAGGGTGATAATATTGAGCACCAAACAGCTAATGCCATGCCCCTGAGTGTAGCATCACATTTAATTTAATCCTCTTAGCAACTCAAATCGTGTAGGTACTATTTCACTTTCTCTCCAGTTTTAGCAGGAGAAATGCAAAATTGACAGATTAAATGGCTTGATTTAACCTCACGTAGCTTGAAAGGAGAACCTCATTTGGAGCCTGGTCTGACTGCTTCAGATATGTTCTTGATTATGTTCTTTAGCCCCATTCATTCCATTGCCTCTTTGGAAAAAATTTTTAATTGATCTTTCCAAAGTAGGACAAATAACCTTAAATAACTTCTTACTGTAACAATAGTATAAAATTGAGATTTTGTAGTCTGACCTTCAGGATGATTTTTTTAATCTAGCCTTTGCCTACCTCTCTGGCTACATCTGCCATTCTCATCTCAGTAAGCCAAAGTTCAGCCATCATCTCTCTAACGTTATTTTCTTGCCTGTGGTGCTTTCCACCAGAGCACAGTTCTCTCAGGTGCTGCTTTTGCCCACTTTCTTATATGGGAAAATTCTACTTCTTCAGGCCTCAATTTGAAAGTCTGTAATTTCTGGAATCACCTTTTAACTTTTTTAATTACAAAATAAATAGGAATTTAAATCCAAGCAGCTGTAGAAATGTATAGAATAAGAAGTGAAAGCCACCCTTCTCTGTAAAAACATCATTAATAGTTGTTAGATGACCTTCCAGATCTTTTTCTATGTAGATAATAGACATCTCTCTTTTATGTTCTATTTTTAAGCAATAATACGATCATATGATCATACTGTATTTTTTTTTCTGTAATTTTCTTTCTCTCACTAGTACATGCAGCCTTCCATAGTATGGATATTTCATATTTTTGTCATCCCCTCTTAGAAGGACATTTAAATTGCTTCTCGTTTTTGTTAGGACGAATACTGGAATGAACAGCCTTGCATGTATTGTATCCTTAAGCACTAAGTTTTCCCATAGAATAGAAACTTTGAAGTTGAAATTGCTGCCAAAAAGTATGCACATTTCAAAATTGTATAGATATTTTCTGATCACCATTCCAAAAAGTTATCCCCTGTATTTTAAAAATATCCACCAGCATGTAGCTTTATGAGAGGAAAAGCACTTAGAACCATGTCTTGTGCAGAGTAATTGTTAATCCATGTTGAATGTTAGGAGTGTGAAGGATGAATTGCCAATAGAAAGGCTTTTAAAAAGCTATGTTCTAGCACATACCACATATTTATAGAATGCTTACACTGCTTGGCCCTGGGTATTCAGGCTATACAGAATTGACTCAATTCTCACATTCTTGGAGCTTAAAATCTAGGTGAGTGATGAAATGGAGGGGAAGGCACCTGTCCTAAGTCTTACTTCCTTTTTCTTAGCAGTACTTCAAGGGGAAAAAGCGCTTAGCACACTGGGCAGCTATAAGGGTTAGAAGTAATCAGGTTTTGCCTTTGTTGCACCCTTCCTAAATACACACAAACTATTCCTTTTTTTCCCATTGAATTTTTTTTATGAATAGGTAGTAATTTACATGACTCAAAAATACAAACATTTAAAAAAGATATTCACAGAAAACCTTTCTGTCTCCCATTTACCCAGTTTCTACCCCCCACCCAGAAACATGTTTGCATAAATAAATATGAATTCCCAATATTTTAATGTCCAACTTAAAAAAATTACAAATTAAGTGTAAGATTTTTTCCCCTTAATTTAGGAGTTGGAGTTATATTGGTTTCCAATGATCAGTGATTTCTTGTATACAAGGTATTAGAATTTTTGGTTGTCCACGGTTGTTTTGCCTTAAAGAAGTATCAGAAGCCCCTGCATGTTTTACTTAAAAGAGGTTTATGTCATTGGCATTGTGTTGTTTTCCTTTGTTGAGCATGAAATCTGATGGTTATCGCAATCTCATAACTTACAAGCTTGAAAATGCAGAGTCCTAGAGCTGGCCCATAATGCTTCTGTCTGTTGTGAACTTGTTCTTGACTGGAGTCTACTGTCCTTTCCCCCTACAGCATGGGAATCATTGTGCTGGAGCTGTACTGGAAGCATGCTCCAAAGACCTGTAAGAACTTTGCTGAACTGGCTCGTCGAGGTTACTACAATGGCACCAAATTCCACAGAATCATCAAAGACTTTATGATCCAGGGAGGTGACCCAACAGGGACAGGTACAGTTAAGTCAGCATTAGTTTCTGAAGTCTCATTCTATCATAACCGGGTATAAGGCAGCCAGGGCCCTCTTCTGCGTACCAGGGAGTAGGTTAGTTGATTCTGGTGACTACTCCTGCCCTTGCTAACACACACTCTTCCCCAGACACACACATGTGGAATTGACCAGAAACCAATTTTGACTTCTGGGCTTTACACAGTTTCTCGTAACTTCCATGTATTTCTTACTAAAAGCAAATAATATTTGCCTGAATTATAGTAATGCATAGAGTAGTCTGGATAATCAGAAGTAAAGAAGGACATTTGTAATGTTTTGAGGAAAAGAAAATAGTAGGTTCTTGATTAGAATTAATCAAAGAACCCACTATTTATTGAACCCACAAATTGATTCAAATTGCTCAACAAATATTGAGAACCAGCCTTGTGTCAGATATTTTTCTGAGCTCTAGGGATATGGCTGTGAGTGAAAAAAAAAAACTTCCTACTCTCAATAAAGCGGGAAAAGGATGTGGGGATGTGATTTTAGTAGAAACGTCAGGGCACCTCTCTGAGAAGGTGTGATTGGAGCAGGGATCTGAAGGAATTGAAGGAATGAACCTTTTGACTCGGGGAAGAACATTCCTGGTGGAGGGAAGAGTACACCCAGAGGCCGTGAGGCAGGAGCCTATGTAGGTGATCATGTAGGACCTTGTAGGGCATGGCAGAGACTTTGAATTTTATTCTGAATAAGATGGGAGCTGTTGGAAGGTTTTGAGCAAAGGAGGGACATGATCTGACTTAGGCTTTAAAAAGGTCACTCTGGCTGCTGTTTGGAAAATCGATGTAGGGGCAAAAATGAGAGTTGGGAAGCAGTTAGGAGGCGGCTGCTGTTGTCCAGTCTAGACATATGTGGTTGAATAGGTTGATAGTAGAGATAGTGTTGAGAAGTGACTGGATTCAGGTTATGTTTTGATAGAAATGGAGTCAATGGGATTTGTTGAGGTTGGATTGGGGTAGGGGTAAGCGTGTGAGAGGGAGAGAGATGGTCAAGGATGACTTCAAGGTTTTTGACTTGAATTTAGTGAAATGGGGAGGGCTGAGAGAATAGCATATTTGGAAGCGGAACATCAAGAATTTGGTTTTGGACACATTACATTTGAAATACTTGTCAGATCTTCTATTAGATATTTTGAGTAAATTATGAGATATGAGTGTGTAGGTCATGGAAAGGTCTGGGATGGAGGTATGAATTTGGGTGGGATTTATTAGTGAAATTGGTACATGACAACATTTCTAAGTTTCACGGCCCCTTGCGTCTCAGACTGCATTTTCTCTGCTAATTCCTACTCCTGCTCTTTTGTCTTTAAATAAACTTGGTTCTTTCTGTGACAGTCTGTTTTCAGTCTTTTTCTTCTTTGTCAATCCCAGTTGTCCTTTATCCTTTATGACCAAGAGGCATTCAGTTTTTTTCAATATGTATGGACACATTTTAAAATACAGAATATAGAAGAAAGTACAAGAAAGACCAAAAAAAAATCACTCATAAGTATACCTCCTGAAGATTCCGAAGTATCATAAATTATTCTGCCAATATCCTACCTCTAGAATAATGGTGGCCATTATTCTAGACATCTTTTTTTTCAGATACCTATGAAAAGGATGGATAACCAGCTAGATGGAAATAATGTCATGCTATGTCATTGATGTTATTGTTTTTAAAACAAAAAGTGTTGTATTTAATTTTGTATATTTAATGGGTAAATTGACTTCCTGCTATGAAAGATAAAGAAATTAGTACTTAAATTTCTACCCATTCCTTCTGTTTAGGAAAAGTTTGGTTTTGCCTGCCTACTGTGTTAGGGAAAAACCAGTTCTTCCCTCTTGGGTTTCTCTATACTGTTACATGCTCACACAGTACATTTCACTTCTGACACTTCTGGTCACCAAATGTATACAAGTGTTTTTACCCACAAACAATTCCCTGAGACACCAGCTGGGTTTGATTAATTTGCTAGAGCAGGTCACAGAACTCAGGGAAACCTAAATACTTACTTTCGTTTACCAGTTTATTAAAGGATATGGTAAAGTGTACAAATGAACGGAGATGCTTCAGGTAAGGTCTGGGAGGGTGCCAAGAATAGAACTTCTGTTGCCATGGAGTTGGGGTGTATCACTCTCCCTGTGTGGATGTGTTTGTTTGTCTGCTTTGAAACTCTACAGGCCTGTACTATTGGGATTTTATGGAGGCTTCCTTGTGTAGGCATGATCCATTTTAGCTCCATTTCTGGCCCTTCTCCCCTCCTTCCCTCTTTGGAGAAGGGCATGAGGCTGCACTCAAGATTCCAAGCTTCTGATCATGCCTTGATCTTCCTGATGACCAGCCCCCATCCAGGAGTACACTCAGAGTCACCTCATTAGAAAAAAAGATGCTCCTAGTGCTCTATCACTTAGGAATTGATAAGGTTTTCAGGAGCCCTGTGTGAGGGATAGGGTCAAAGACAAAATATCAGAACGAGAGATACTCCTAGTGTTCTTATCACTTAGGAAATTATCAGCGTTTTAGAGGCTCTGTGTTAGGAACCAGGGGCAGTTTTTTATATATATATATATATATATATATATATATATATATATATATATATATATAAAATTATTTTTTTTCCTATTATCTTGCACCTGTCCTCTCTCCCTTGCTCCCAATTTTTTGTGGTTACTTTATTTTTCCTTATCAGAGTTTACAGCATTTTCCATTCTACACCCATGAGCCCCTCAGCTACAGTGTGAGTTCTATGGTTCAGAGGGTTCAGTGCTCACCACTAGGCTTTTCTGTTCATCAGTTCTAGAGGGCAGAATTTCTTGTTGAGTGGTTTTTATTGCAAGGGCTGGAGGATGTTCTATTTTCAGACTCAACCATGTTTGAGAATTTCTGCCTGTTACCCTTATAGTTGAAAAAGACCGACTGGGTATACTGTTCTTGGGCCAGACTAATTCCCTCAGATCTTTTTAGACATTTCTGTTCCATTGCCTTCTGATTTTGAACATGGCTTTGGAGACTATTGAAGCCAGATTTACTTCTTCCTTCAATTCAGGGAAAATTTTTTTATTTGTATTTCTGAATATTTCTCTGTTACACTTACTGGATTTTCTATTTCAGGAAATAGTTATTCTTTGTTTCATCACCTTTGTCTTCCATATATCTGTCACATTTCTTTTGAGTAAATGAGGTGATGGTTTTCTATTTTTTCCTGCATCCATTGAAATAATCTCAGACCTTTACTCTGTGCCTTATTCAATTTTGAGTCATGTCTATTCTGTTCTTTGCTGCTCAAATTTTTTTTTAACATTTTTTATTGATTTATAATCATTTTACAATGTTGTGTCAAATTCCAGTGTTCAGCACAATTTTTCAGTCATTCATGGACATATACACACTCATTGTCACATTTTTTTCTCTGTGATTTATCATAACATTTTGTGTATATTTCCCTGTGCTATACAGTGTAATCTTGTTTATCTGTTCTACAATTTTGAAATCCCAGTCTATCCCTTCCCACCCTCTACCCCCCGGTAACCACAAGTCTGTATTCTCTGTCCACAAGTCTTTAGATTCCACATATGAGTGATCTCATATGGTATTTTTCATTCTCTTTCTGGCTTACTTCACTTAGAATGACATTCTCTAGGAGCATCCATGTTGCTGCAAATGGCGTTATGTTGTCGGTTTTTATCTTTGCTGCTCTAATTTATTTATTAGTGCTGTCTTGGTGTCATTTGACTCTCAATCTGTTTCCTTAACTCTGCAATCTTTTCACTTTATTCCACTGATTTATTATCCTGTCTTTGAGCTCTTGTTTTGTTGGATTCTTATTTCTCTTGAAGCTTCTGTAGCTTGAAACAGCCACAGAAAAGCTCTTCTTGGATATATTTTCTCTCTTTCTTTCTTTCCATTTGTTGTGTATGTTTGCATAGTCTCCGTGCCATTTCTTGTCATCTTATCCACTCTTAGTGTCGGCCTTACCTTTTATTTGCTCGGGTACAGTGTAAGTGAATTGTCTTTGCCACTCTCCCTGCCTGTGTGGGGCCAGTTATCTTCCCCATCCCAAATGCTGGGTTGCTTTCTCTCCATTTTATTCTATCCTGACAAGGGTGTGGGAGAAAACACCAGCTCAGCTCATGCTGAGTGAGCTCCTGTGGGAGGGCTAGCGTCTGTACTGTTTTCCCAGACTCCATTAAAGCCATATCCCAGGGCCTCTTCCCCTGCTGGTGGTGTCCCTCTACCCCAACCTCAAGCCCTGGGTAGCTCCTGAGTTTAGCAGTAGCAGAGCAAAATATCCTCATACCTTTTTTTCATTTTCACCTGGGTTTCTATAAAAGAAGACATATGAATGAGAGACAAGCATACAGGTTTACTTACTATAAGGTCTACATGATATCAGAGCCTTTAAAAGGAAATGAGGACCTGAAGAAGGGGTTACCCTGAGCATTTTTATGCCAAGTTTGATGAAGAGTGGAAAGTCGTGGGAAAATATGATAGAACAAAAGGGGTATTAGTATGAGCTCAGTGTAGTAAAACTAGGGAGACTTAGCAAGGCTTGTTCATTCATATTCCTCCTGGTGTCCCTCTGTCTTGAAGGTGGGGATGTTCCTTTCCTCTGGGTATATGGAGGGCACCTGCCACATGAGGGTCTTACAATCACTTCAGGAGAAGGTCAGAAAATCCTTCCTGCACCTGCCATTTCTCAGATTCCTTCAACTTGAAATACTTACATGCCACAGTGCCCTGTTTTAGAGCAGCACATCCTGGTCCCCATTATGGCCCAGTGCTCCTCTACCCCACTAAGGTAGCCAGTGCTGTTAGCCTGACCTGCCACTCCTGAGCACCTGTGGTGTGTGGGCTTCTCCTTAACTTTTTCAGGGCTGTTCACCCACTCTTCTTGTTGGCTTCTCAGAATTGGAAGATATTTGTGAGAATTCTCTGGGTGACATTCCTTTCCTGATTACTACTTTTAGGGAGTGCAGG